ACTGCCACGGACGGCCATGATTAATGCCGTTACTATGGATGCTACTACTGCTGCTGCTGCTGCTACAATCACTGCTGTTACTACTGCTGCTGCTGGTAGTGAACTGCTACTGCTACTATTACTGTTCTTACTACTGATGCCACTACTGCTGCTGCTGCTGCTACGATGAGTACTACTATTAGCACTACTGATGCTACAATTACTGCTGCTGCTACTAGTGCTATGATTACTGCTGTTGTTACTGCTGCTACCACTGCTGCTACTGGTAGTGAACTGCTACTACTGCTACTATTACTGTTCTTACTACTATGCCCCTACTACTGCTGCTGCTGCTGCTGCTACAGCTACTGTGGCTGCTGCTACTACTACTACTACTAGTAGTAGTAGTATTAGTACTACTGATGCTACAATTACTGCCACTGCTACTAGTGCTGTGATTACTGCTGCTGCTGGTGGTGAACTGCTACTACTACTACTATCAATGTTCTTACTTCTGATGTCACTACGACTGCTGCTACAGCTGCTGCTACTGCGGCTGCTGCTGCTACTAGTACTATTAGTACTACTGATGCTACTACTACTGTTACTACCACTATTGCTGCGACTGCTAATGCCAGTACTACTGCTATTACTACTGCTGCTGCTGCTGATACTACAACGGGCACTACAGGTGCTGCTGCTACTATTACAACTGCTACTGCTAATGCTAGTACTACAGCGATTACTACTGATGCACTTCTGCTGCTGGTACTCCTGCTGCTGCTGCTAGTAAATACTGTTGCTGTGAGCTGCCATTGACTGACTCCGACACATCGGTCGACTTTTGTGTCCTGGAAAGAAAGGTGCCCGGGCCTGCGTTATCTTCGTGATCCCAGTCTGGTTGAGACAATTGTGATAGCTACTGCCCCGCCCATCTCAGTGAGAATTTCCCTAGGTTCGTTTGCCCTTCATTGCATCACACTTGATGCCCTTTTCTGGCCGTTGGCCTTTGCTGACGGCATGTCTCAAACCAGCACGTTGAAATTTCATTGTCCACACGTCTGAAGGATCTACTGGTTGTCTTTCTTCGAAGAAAGGTTTGCCGTCCGGGCAGACCACGGTGTTGCCGATGCTCTTTGCCCACGCTGCCGTTTGGAGGCATCAGTTCTTCTGTTTCTCCTCGTCGGGAGTCATCTTTCAAACACTTGCAAGGTGATTGGCAAGACTGTGGCTCAGGCCACGCGACCTGGGCCATCAAGATGACCTCTTCGCTTTTGGACCACTTGAGCCGAGTCCTTGGTGGCAGATACCCCCGAGGCAGTGTGCTGTTTGGTGTCTCAGTGACTGCTTCCATGGGCAGTGAGTGCCGATTCACGGAGAATGAAACCGCTGGGAATGTCCCTGTCTTCTCCATCCTACTACAGCTGCGGAGGCGACTTTGACTCAGAGTGGCCCCAGGGGATGTCAGGGAACTGCCCCCCAGGGTCTTCCAGGCTGTATGTGGAAGCGCCCCATCGGATCTCTCTCCTGAGGAGTTGCTGAGCACCTAGGAGGAGCCAGGCCCAGTGCCGGGCTTGTCTCCCAGGCCCCTCAGTCTAGTGAGCTTTCTTCCCAGTCTTGTGCTGGTGGCCCCTCCTGCTTCCTTCTGTCCCCAGATGCAGTGATCTGGTTTGTTCCCTTGTTTATTGTCACGATCATGCGTTGTCATGATAACTGGGGCACCTGTCTGCTCCCGACGTCCAGTGTGTGGAAAAGTGCCTTTCCCAGCGTGGAGCTCGGGAACCTCTTCCGGGTTTGTCTCACCTTCAGGGCAGCCCTCTCGGGGCGTGTGATTATTGTCCTCAAGGAGCCTGGGGAGGGTGGTGGGTAAGTGCTGGACTGCCAACCACAATGGCGGGGAATCAAGCCCATCAGCCCTTCTCAGGAGAAAGAGGGGGCAATCTGCTTCTGCAAAAAAGAGCCTCGCCCAGAATCCTGTGGGGGCAGTTCTCCGTCTAGCAGGGTCGCCATGACTTGGAAAGGTTCTGTGGGTGTTTAGCAGTTGGAAACCACCAGAGGGAGAGAGCGTTAGAATCAAGGTTTCTAAGATCACCACGTATGTGCACGTGTGTTTCTACAGGTGTACGTGTGTCTGCACATGAGTGTGTAGTCTCATGCATGCAGAAGGTACCTGAAGGACTGTGTGTGAGGTATCAACACAATGTCCGTCCCCACCGCCTTGCTGAAAGCTGTGACCACTGCCCCTGCCCCGGCAGTGCAGTCGGAGGACCCGGGGACCTGCACGGTCTGCGCTGGGAAAGGCTCCCTAGCCCCTTTGGAGAACACAGTGCTTGTCATGGATCTGGGGGAGACCAGCTCCCAGGGCAGAAAACAAAGGCTGGCTTCAGAGACAAAGGCTGCAGGTTGGAGTCCACTCAGAGGTGCCTCAGAGGAAAAGCCTGGCCATCCTCTCTTGAAGAAGCAGCCATCGATCAGGAGCCCGGAGGGAAGTTCTACTTTGATACGCACACAGGGCTGCCCTCACCCAGAGTGGACTCCATGGTAACGACCTGGAAAACAAGACAAAACACCATCCTCCCTGCTTTGGACAAACTCGAGTGGCGTAGTGGTTATGCTTTGGACTGTTCATTGTGAGGTCAATAGTTCGAAACCCCCGTGGGAGAAAGACGGGGCTTCTACCCCAATAAAGAGTGACCGTCTCGGAAACCCACAGGGGCCATGTTGCCCTGTCCTACAGGGTCACTATGAGTCAGAAGGGGCTGGACGGCAGTGAGGTTTTGTTCTGTTTTTTGAAAGTATGGGGAGTGACCGGCAGCTAGCCGGTTGCTGTCTGCCTTTTTTGGCCATCAGAGTTAAGAGTGCTTTTAAGTATCTCCTCAGATCCACCTCTCTCATTCCACCCTCTCCAGGCCAAATCCCACACCAAAGACCTTCACCCAAGAGACCCCATTGTACCCTGTACCAATCCCCACACTCACTGCCGTCAAGCCAGTGCTCAGTGCGCATGGCCCCTGTGGGCTTTCAGGAGTAGAATGCCCATCTTTCTTCCATGGAGCCGCTGGTGGCTTTGAACAGCTGACCTTGTAGTTATCAGCTTGACTCATAGCCACGATGCTACCAGGGCTCCTAGTGTACACAGTTCCAGCGTACAGACAGCTGTTCAGTCTTCCCGCACGGACAATTTGAACTTGTCCTTTACTGTTAGGCAAATAGACCCTCCCTTGAAACCATTGTACGGACTCCCAACTTGCAGCAGATTCTTCATCACAGCCACCCAAGCCCTTCCTCGACTAGACCCACCAACCACCATCCAGTTCACTGCGGCTCAGTGAGACCCAATCGGACAGAGAACTGCCCTTGTGGGTGCCCGAGACTGACTCTCTGCGGGAGCAGACAGCCTCTTCTTTCTCCTGGGGCTGTTGAGTTGGAACATGAACATGAACTCATGCATGGGGTGAAATGAGAACACGGCACCTCCCTACAAATCCGACATCAAGACACACTTGGGAGGCTCCCACCTGGAGCTTGGGGGCTGACTGTTTCTCATCCCTCACACAGATGAGGAAGCCCCAGGGCCCATTGGTCCCCTGGACCTGTCTTGGCCCCAACCCCCCACACTGCGCTGATGCAGGGACACACATCACCCCTAGTGGATGTCACCGATGGCCCACATGACACATGGGCTTTCAGGCAGGATGCCAACCCTCTGATGTCAGGGAAGCTGAGGTCCCAGCCAAGATAAGCCTCTGGGGACCTGGCGCCCCCACTGCCAGCCTCCTGCCTTGTGTGTGTGTGTGTGTGTGTGTGTGTGTGTGTGTGTGTTATCAGCCATAGGCTTGGTTCCCTTCGCTCTCTCTGATCACACATCTTTTGGGGTCTTCCCCCTCCCCACCCCTTCAACTTGGCCTGCCCCGGCCAGCCCCTCCCCCAGGCAGGTCTCCAGTGAGGGAGCTCTGCTCAGGATAAAAGCCGCTGGCCAGGCCATAAATCAGCTACCCTGCTCCTTAACCTCCACCATTAACCTCTCACACTGCCAGGCATTAGGTGTTGCACTCGGCTGCTGTAAATTACTCGCCAATGAATTTATGAGGGCTCACCCCACAGAGGCCCACTTTCCCCTAGGCCAGCCAAAAATCAGGCTCCGGGCCTGGTAGGTAGTGCCTGGACCTGGCCCGGCTGCCCTGCCTTACCTGACTCTCTGCCCGCCCCCAACCCCCCTCCCCGTCCCTGGCGGCAGAGGCCAACTAAAAAGCAGTAGGAGTAGAGGACGAGCGGGGCACGTGTGGAAATGGCCACTCAACTCTGTTACCCAGAATGCCTCTCTCCAGAGGCCATCACTTCGGTAGGTGAACTGGTCCTGAATAACAATGCCCACCCCCCACGCATGGTTTCTATAGCCGGGCAAGCCTATGTTCATCGGATCGAATTCTTCTGACGACTCTTGGAGCCTATGTCACCCTCCCACTTCACAGACAGGAAACCAGAGGTGCAGGCCAGTGGCATGACGGCTGCCACTTCCCTGGCTGCCACAGGTGACCACAGTGGCTCCACGCTCCTTTCGTCTGCAACCTGGGAACACAGGAGGCGGGCAAGACCCAGACGAGGAACAGGAGCCAGCAGCGGTCAGATGACTTGCCTAGATCAGATGGCTGGGAATGCTGGCGTTCAACGCCAACGGATGCCCCAAGCCCAAACCAAACCAACTGCGGTGGAGTCCATTCTGATGTACAGTATAGTGACCCTGGAGGACAGCGTAGAACTCTCTAGGGTTTCCAAGACTACAGCTCTCCATGGGAGCAGACAGCCTCATTTTTCTCCCTTGGAGTAACAGGTGGGTTTGAACTGCAGACCTTGGATTGCCACATCCTAACAAAGACCCTGGTGGCATAGTGGTTCCACGATGGGCTTCAATCCAAGAAAGGTCACCAGTTCAAAACCACTAGCAGCTCTTCGTGAGAGTGTAGAAAGATCAGGTTTCCTACTCAGCTATAGTCTGGGAAACCCACAGGGGCAGTTCTACCCTGTCCTAGAGGGTTGCTATAAGTCAGTATCAACTGGAATGCAGTGAATAGTTTTTTAAGAAACTGAAAATCCAACCCACTGCCACTGAGTCAATTCCAACTCATATTGACCCTCTACACTGGTTTCTGAGACTCTGTCTCCTTATTGGAGCAGGCGGTCTCATCTGTCTCTTGAGGAGTAGCTGGGGGGCTTGAGCCACCGACCTTGCAGTTCACAGAGCAATGCTGAGCTCATAGCACCACCAATCTTAATTCTATAAAAATAACGTAATTCTGAAACAGACAAACACACAAACAACAAGACAAAGCCGTTCCACACCTGGAAACCTGGTTAAATCTCGACGCTGTCAGTTTATAATCATTCTATACAAGCCTGTCATAATAATGACCTTTCCATGAGGAGGAGGAGGATGAAGACTGGTGCGTATGAGGCGGATACTACAGACACTTCCGTTTATAGAAGCAGACACTCTGTCCAAGATCGGGTCAGATCCCGGAGTCTGGACCCGGCGGTCCGCTGCAAGAACACGAACTCTGAGCATGGGTCACAACAGAAGCCACACTAATCCTACACACGAGTGCCACAAGTCATCAGAGCGCCAGAAGCAGAACGAGGCCCCCTCGGTGGCTGTCAGTCTGGTTTCTGTCCTATGGACACCTCAGGGTCCCCTCCAGGAAAGTTCCCTGTTGATGACCAGGGGATGAGTCCTACCTGCTTCTGTCTCTCACTCTCCCTGGGTGGCGGCTGGGGCTGGCTGTGGATGGGCTTCTCCATGGTGAGGGGGGACTCTTCACTTGGAGTGTCACCTCTCCTACGTCTGCCTGAGGTGCCAGTCCCTGCCTGTTGCTCCAGCTGGACGGAGCCCCAGCCTCCAGAAATGATGGGGTTCCTTCCGCAGCTCCTGTGTGTAGATCTGGGTAGAGGGGAGTGAGGGTCTGGTGAATGGGGTGATGCAAGAGAAGGAGAAGGTTGTGTGTGTGGACAGCTGTCTTGACATGACCCACAGGGATGGCCGACTGAAGCTGGGCATGGTGGCTGATGTACCAAGGGATCCCTGCCCGGCCAGATGCCACCCGGGCCTGGGAAAAGCCATCCTGTAGAACCTGGAGCCCGAAGGCAGAGTAGCATGTTGTTGGGATCCACAGAGGGGGGAAGGGGTGGTGATCTGGGCTGCAGGTTGTCCTGGGAAGGGCAGCTGAGCCAGAGTCATGCAGACCAAGTTCAAATGCCGCTTCTGCAGGCATGGGCTGGGTGGCCTTGGGTGTCCCGACCGGCTGGCCCCGGACACTTGGGCAGGTCAGCAGCCTCTCTGGACCTTGGCTTGCCTGTCCCTAAAACGAGGGTTGCTGCCATCATTGTGTGCTGTGGAGCCCATGTCCACTCCCTGTGGCCCCACGTGACCCACTCCATAGGGCTGTCATCTCTATGGAAGCAGATGGTTGGGTTTGGGCCACTAAGCTTTCGGTGAGTGGCTGAGCGCTGAACCGTTGGTATCACCAGGCCTCCCCAAAGCAAGGATCGTCACAGTGCCTGCTTCCTAGAGTGCTGTGAGGAGCAGGTGGGATAAGGCGGACAGCCACCGAACTGTTCAGTAAACGCCCACGGAATTTGACTCTGTCTTGGAGTTGGGCCCCTCTGCTGTTGACGAAAGGACTGGCAACCCCCTTCCACTTTTTAGAAACAAAATAGTTCACCTGAGGAATTCCAAGTCAACAACTGGGATAGAAGTGGAGCTCGTCCACGGAATCTTGACTGAAAGAAGGAGACGAGCTGTACATTCCATACTTGGGGGAGAACAAAAGGGGGGGGGGGCGGGAGGAGGTGAGTCATATTTTTCACTCTGTGCGCACACAGATTACACGCTTGTATCAACTGAACGAAACCTTAGTTTATCCCAGATGCCCACTTACTGCCAGATGCCACCGGGAAATAAAGTTATCTAGTGTATGCACTCATATAAACTGATCTCTAACCTTGTATATAAAACCACATGTGTCTATCGCTCTGTGCACATTGGATGCATATATATTCAGAACAGATGCATACATGTCTACCTACTCAACAATTTCATCCAGCAAATATTTATTCAGTGCTCACTCTATGTGCGTGCACAGATAGAGAGGATTATGTGTTTGTACATAAACCATATATACACACTGGTGATTATACCAGAAGCCAACCGAATATTAGATGCAGGGAGTGGAAAGGATTGCCGTTGGCAAACTGTATTCGCTGGGACATGGACCAAACCCAGAAGTAAACATCGGTTCCCAAATAAACAAACAAACAGAAAAACAACCAATGAAAGATTGCTGAGTGGATGGGACTCATGGTGACAGCCCCCCGCCCGCCCGCCCCCCACCCTCGCTCCCCGTGTATGTCAGGGGGGAACTGTGTGACGCAGAGCTTGCTATGCTGGCCTTTTGGTAGTAGACTGTCAGCTCTTTATGCTGAGGTGTCTCTGGGTAGACGTGAACCCCCAGCCTTTGGGTGAGCAGCCGAGTATACTCATGCTTGCACCTCCTGGGAACCCCAATAAAGGCAGCACATGTGGATGGCAGACTGGTGCCCTCAACGTTGGGGTGCTGGTGGGGGTGATGTCCCTTCTGCCCAGTCATCCCCAGGCCGCCGTCACTGTCTGAATCTTGGCGGGCGCATGGAAGGAATCGCCTCTTACCCAGCAGCATCGGGGCCCTCAGTCACCTGCTCCTGCCTCCACACTCAACCTCTCCACTCTGACCAGGTGACCAAATGCAGCCCCGTGCCCACTCCATTTTGGAGGCTCCCCACCCACCCCCTGGTACACAAGCTCCCACCTGCTGCTCCCCAGTGGCACTGGGACAGGTGGGGCTTTTCAGACCTGGGGTGTGGGGTGGGTGGGGGTGGATGCTCTGTCCTTTCTCATAAAGGAAGATGTAGTCATCCCCTGCCTCCACTCCCCCTGCCAGGCTCTCAGGTGGGCCGTAGGGTCTTAGTCACTGCCTATTCCTGTGGCTCAGGCCTGATCCTTAAAAGAAAAAGAAAAAAGTACTTAACACACAATGTTGCAGCTAAAAACCCAGGCAGTTGGACAAAGTCAACAAGATGAAAACACTGGCAGCGATGTAAAGAGCCAGCGTGTGCTTCTGCCCGCGAACCCACAGGATTCAGAGCACGATGGTAAGGGAGCACTAATAGACAGCTCTGGCTAGAGCATAGTGGAAGGTGCAAACAAGTCAATTAGCTCAGAGCTTTAGCCTCGAAAGAGCTCTGATGGCTTTGTTGGGTAGGCGTTAGACTGTTAACTTCGAGGTTGGTGGTTCAGGCCCACTGGCGGCTCCAGGGAGAAAGATGAGGCTATCTGTCAAGACTTAGAGCCTTGGGAACCTTATAGAGGGTCGCTGTGAAGACGTCCTGGGTTATGGGCTAGGCTGCTAATTACAGGGTCAGCAGTTCAAAACCATCAGCTGCTCCGTAGGAGAGGGATGAAGAGTTCTACTCTTATTTACAGCCGCTCAGGAACCCACAGGGGAGTGGTACTCTAGTCTGCAGGGTGGCTCTGAGTCAGAGTTGACACCGTGAGAGTGAGGGAGTCAGAACCAGCGCGGTGACAGTCCGTGTGGTCTGGGTCCAGCCTTGTTAGGTGCACTGGTGCCTGTAAGCTGGGCTCACAAGAGTCTTTCAAGATGAACCCCAGGGAACTTTGTATACAAATGATGCACTTTGGCCAAAATAGGCCATGAAAGTGGTACGGACAGTCATTCTGGTGTCACCCCTCTGACAGTGTCCCCTGGTGTGGTCTACACCCCCCTCCGGCGAAGCCCTACAGTGTTAGGGTTCTCGTGATCATTATCTTTACAGACACCGCCTGTCAGGTCTTTCTCCCGCCGAACATCGAGGTGGGTGTGGATTGCCAACCTTTGGGTTAACCATTACATCACCTGGCTCCATACACTGTCGGGAGCTCTCTTGCACGGGTGCTATCTCCTTTTAGATAACGCATGTAACGCACTTCCCACCTAGCACGGCACCTGGTAAGCTCCAAAGAAACGCTGGCTGGGATGATGATTAAGGTTGTATGTCAACTTGGCTAGGCCGTGACGCTCAGTGGTCTGGCAGGTAGAAATGAACTGTTAAATGATATACAGATAGATAGATATATAATCCAAGAAATGAATAGTTAAATTATAAAGCAGCACAAATGGCTCAGTGCGACTCACTCCTGTGAGAGAGAGAGAGTTGTGAGAGACTAGCAGTCCTTCAAGTCTTTGATGGTGGCACTGATCTCTGCAATCCCTCCAGGAATGAGGTACTGCTTTTGGTTTACTATTTTCCTAGGCAATGGCAGTTCTAATGGTGTCCACTTGGCCTTTACTACCATGATAGCCCTTATGCCACATTTCAGGGATCCAAGATGGGGGTTCTACCAGTTACTAAGTATGTCTATTCCAATGATGCATTCTGGAACTGGGGAAATAACCACAGGATGGGTCTGGGGGCCCACAGTGTGATCTGATGCGAGCCACCAAGCAGTTGAAAGGGAAGCTTCCTTCGAGGTGTGACGTACGTCTAATCTAGCCAGGTGAGCTGGTAACGCTTGCTCACTCTGGGTCTTGCGGCTGACCCCTCCGCCTCTGACCTCTGATGGAGCAGCCTGCCACTTGCACTGCAGATGTTTGTATTTGCTGGCTCCTGCCCCGACTTAGGGAAATAGCAGACCCCAAGCAGTGCTGTGTTCCTAGAGGCGGTTCAGAAATTCCTGCTCTCATCAAAGACGAGAAGGAAGCCAGGCTGTGATTCCCACCCCGTCTCCACTCACCTCACCCCTTTGGCCTGGGCAAAACCAGATGACTTTAAGAGTCTGAAGTTGAGTTATCCTAACAGTCACCAGGGGACTCCAGTATTTCAAACTCCAGTATTTGATGTAGTTTCATTGCTTGAGCAAACTAATATATCTACTGGGACCAGGCATGGGGCTATTGGTTTGGCTAATGCCTCTTTCTCTAGACCTGTTTTGAAGGACCACTAAAGGCCCTTGGTCTTCAGTTGCCAAGGGTCAACCATATGCCTCCACTGTGTGCTTCCAGGTATGTCAACTCTCAAACCCTAGGCTGCAGCAAGGTCCCTGCAGGGGAACTTGATTGCCTTTCCCCTCCGTGAGAGCACACAGCGGGCCACTACCTTGATGGCATTATGCTGGTTGGACCTAGTAAACAAAACAAGTAGTTCCAAACGGAAACTACGTCCCCCGATCTACTGCAGGAACAAGGTCTATAATTGTTTTTAATGTTTCGCCCCTGTTTTGTTATATACATGCCGTATATATCAAGGGGCTTCGTAAAGTTTGTGGAAAACAGAATGAAAAGATCATGAAATTTGTCTGCAAACTGTTGAAACCCCACTTATCTGGCCCATGTCTGTTTTTTTCTCCCCTGTCTTATTCCATTACGACTAATAAGTAGAAGATGTAATCAGGGCTAGTGTATTCTTGGTGGCACGTGTTAGTTGTATACTATTAGGCATAGTCCAACTTTATTACCTCTCTACTTAAAAGTTGTGTGTGCTTTATGGTTGACAAGGGATGGGCTGTGATGTTAAGGCTATGTGTCAAATTGGCTCGGCCATGATGCTCAGTGTTTCAGCTGACATTCTGCAATCACCCTCCATTTCTGATGCTAGTAGCCAATCAGATGAAAACAAGCTCCCCTGGAGGTATGGTCTGCCTCCAACCCATATGGCTGTTGGTAAAGTTTGCTCGCTCTCAATCTTGTACCTGACTCAATGTCCTCTGACCT